ACAAGCACGCTGATTTGTTCAGTTACATTGCCAGCACTGTGCCCGAGACAAAAAATTAAGGATAAAGGACGGATGTGGCCATTAGCGAGTTTGGAGTGGTTTTTTTTAGACTAAATTCTTTTTTAATTTTTAACTTTTATTTTTAAATCATTTTAGACTTAGGAGCAGTTGCAAAAGTAGTACAGATAAACACATATGAAAAGATGTTCAACAAAGTTAAACTACAGTGAGCAGGGGAGGGCGTAGCTCAAGCGGTAGAGCACGTGGTTAGCATGCAGGAGGTCCTAGGTTCAACCCCCAGCACCTCCTCTGAAAATAAATAAGTAAATCTAACTACCTCCTCCCTCAAAAAAATTAATTTTGAATTAAACTACAATGATGTAAGTTCACGACTATACTTTGGTAAAATATATATATACCCAAAAAAACACCCTACAATGAGATATCACTACACACCTATGAGAGTGGCTATAATAAAAAATGGAGATGTTAGGAGATGCTGGTGGAAGTGCTGAGAAAGTGGGTCTAATTTACTGCTGGTGGAAATTTTAAAGGTGCAGCTACTCTGAGCTCAGACTGGCAGTTTCTCAAGAAGTTGAGCCTGTACTGCAGTCTTGGGCATTCACCCTGGAGGAAAGAACACTTAGGCAGAAACCCATATCTGAATGTTTCTAACTTTATCCGCAATTGCCAAAAAGTCTGTAGTGTATAATTCCATGTATATAACATTCTTGAGTTGAAAATATTACAACCATAGAGGACAAATTAGTGGTTGCCAAGGGGAGAGGACAGCGGAGGAGGTTGGGCGAGACAGCAGAGGGGCAGCCAGAGGGAGAGCTCCGTGGTGATGACACAGTTCAGTGACTATTCAGGTACGTGTGATGACCAATCACGGAATGACATACAAACTCTTACACAAGAGAAGAGTGGCTGTGGGTCCTGGTGAGGCCTGCGATCTAGTTCACTGTGCGGTGCCAGTGTCAGTTGCCTGGTTTGGATGATGCCTTTCAGTGTTTAAGATGTCACCATTGAGGGAAGCCAGGTGATGGGTCCACAGGACCTCTGTGTACTATTTTTCAACTTTTGTTTATAGTTACTTCAAAATGAAGAGTTAAAGGAATCCTGTCTACCATCCACTTCGATTCCCCAATGTTAGTGTCTTTGATAATCTTCCCCACAACAAGTGGGAAAGACACATTATCCCATCTGCAGACCTGCCTCAATTTCTTATACCTGTATCTTGATGTTTCTATCAATCAGTCGATGGAGGTCTTGCAGATACTTCTAATTCTAGCTCGAGTGGGCAAGTGATGGCCCGCATGCCACATCCGGCACCCACCTGGGTGTGGAACACGGTCACAGTCTTTCCTCTGTGGTTGTTCTCGATGTTTGAGGGGACTTCGTCTCATAGAGCCTCAGAATCTACTCCCTGACTCTTTACGGAAGTTTGCTGAGACCTCTTGTAACCTCCTCCCTCTCTTCATTTGTAACGCACCCCTGACAGTGAGGAGCCTGGCCCTCGTTAGGTGTGATATACCCGGTGATTTGCCGAGTTCTAGACCACACATAAAATAGCTTCAGAGTGACTAACCTGCAACACCGGAGAAACCCACCTGCCCATTCGAGTATGTTTGTGTTCCCTCCTCTGTCTTTACTGAGAGACCATGGTTACATGTCACTGCTTTTCAGTCACTGCCTTCCTACAGTCGAGCTCATTTGCTTTGGTTTGTATTCCACTCGGAGGTCTCCCCCCATCGTACTTTTTGTGCGTGTGAATCACAAACCTGTTTCTAAGTCAGAACAAACCAGGTCACCTTCGGAAGTGCTGCTCTCCGCCTCCCTGCGCTGCTCCTCTCCAGCTCACACCCTCCCAAAAGCGGACCAGTCTCTTGTTTCCATCTTATCCTTTGTTTCTTTTGCACACATGATTAGACACTTATTAAATAAGTTCATAAGAATGTTATTATTATAATTATACTAAGTGTATTATGTTAAGAATGTTAGTGACGCAGGGTACATGTTTGTTTTTATTCAGATTATCTTTCTAGCCTACTATGTATTTTGCAAGTTCAGTGAGTATTTACTTGATACCTTCAGAGCTGTAACTGACACTTGATAATCTGTCAGTGTCAGACACAGGCATTATTTTAGCTAATCCTCATTACAGCCTAAGAGGTAGAGATGTTATTAGTCCATTTTATAGCTGAGGAAGCCGGGGCTTAGAGTTCACAAAGCTTGCTCAAGGTCACACCGTTAGTGACCTGAGAATTCTGTTGAGGGCTTGCCTGGTTGTGAGGACAAAACCCCCTTCAAACTAGTCTACATTAAAAAGGTAGCTTTAGAGTGAGGATGCAGAGATGGTATGCAAAAGGGAACATTGTCCGGATTGGGTGGGGCTCCTCTGCTTATTCATAGCATCCGCCCCAGTCACCCCCACCTGTCAAATTTCGCCTTGCATGTGGCTTTGATCTGTCCTATACCTTTTATATCAGTTCCTTGTCACCTCTGCTGCCCTTCTACCTGGGTGTTCCGAAACTCCCCTTCGGGGCTCTCCCTGGGTGGGATCCTGTGGTCAGTAGACCCCTGGAGTAATTTAAAGCCAGCCCCACCAACCTTGTCATTTCACCCGTAAACCCATCTTAAAAACCCTGTCCTCCAGTTTCAACGATGTTTTAATACATCCAATTCTTTCCTGATCATCTCTTTGAGTTTCTTGTCTTTTTGACCTCCTTAATCTTTGTTGTGACTCAGATTCCTTTTCAGCTCACTGTCTTTTTGTGTGTTTCTTGTTACCCCTGCCTTTAGTCTCTCGGAGTGGTGAGCTCTACCTGTGTGCTTGTAACTCCCAGTCTGTTTTTCCCACTCTAAGCTTCTTGTCTTCTAAATCTCACACTTGAACATCAGAGTGCCCACTGGATGTGTGGTTAGGTGTGTCTAATGCTCAGAGCCTAAATCTCCATCTGTTCTCTGTCTTGTAGTCTCTGCCTCGGGTAGAATCACTCCCTAGGCATCCAGGCTGAAGACTAAGGTGTTACTGTCTTCGGGCTCCAGTCCCCCAGGCCCCTCCCCAAGGCATCTATTCTGTCTGTGGTTAAAACATCTTGTTTCTCTCCTCTGAGACTTCGTATCTAGCCCTTTTGCTGCTTTCCTTCTCCCTGGTTCCTGCTGACCATGCTTACACCTGAACGCCATAGATTTAACTGCTCTTTCTCCTGGTACATTGATTGAGCCCCAGCCCCAGCGCCCATCCACTTGCTCGGGGGCTGTGTAACTTGAACCAGTTACTTAGCTTCTCTGATTAAGAATCTCCATCCGTAAAGCAGGAGGTGGGGCGGGGGTGAGCAATGGCGATACCTCCACGTGGAGTTATTGTGAATTTTAAATAATTTAGTGCATGCAGAGGGTTTTAGGACAGACCCAGGCATTCATTGAACAGTAGCTCTTTGTTACCAGTATATGCATACGACTGCTGGAGCTATCTGTGTGGCTCCGCCGTTTAAATCTTTACACACTTTCTCATCACTTACAGAATAAGGTGCAAATATATCTGCAAGATAAACTTCTGCAGTTGGAGTTTTGACGGATATTCCTGGGGATCTGTTCCAGATTATACTCCAAGTGGCCCCAGATGGGTGCCCTGTTTCCCAGTGTACTTGCCTGCCTGGAATGTCGTTGTGACTAGGTCACATAGAAGCAATGCGCTTTTAAGATTCTCATCCAAGTGAACCAGAAACAGCCTCTCAATTTTGTTTAGATGGTTACAAATTTGGAAACAAAAAAACTTACGAAAATTCTCAGAAAACTCATAAACTCCAAAGAATATGGATAAATACTGCATTGAAATGAAACTCTGAAGCCAGCTTTTTGCCACTTTGTTTTTTAATTGAAGTATGGTTGATTTACAATATCATACTAGTTTCAGGTGTACAGCATAGTGATTCAGTATTTTTGCAGATTATACTCCATTAAAAATTATTACAAGAAAGTGGCTGTAATTCCCTGTGCTGTACAATATATCCCTGTTGCTTCTCTATTTTTTACGTAGTAGTTATATCTTTTAATCCTCTTCACCTGCTTTGCTCTCCCCCTTCTCTTTTCCTCTCTAGTAACCACTAGTTCTATCTGTGAGTCTCTTTCTTTTTTGTTGTATTCACTGGTTTGTTGTTTTTTTTCGGTTCCACATATAAGTGATAACATACAGTATTTGTCTTTGTCCATCTGACTTATTTCAGTAAACATGATACCCTCTAAGTCCATCCATGTTGTTGCAAATGGCAAAATTTCATTCTTTTTATAGCTGAATAGTATTCTGTTGTGTGTGTGTGTGTGTGTGTGTGTGTGTGTGTACCACATCTTCTTTATCCAATCATCTTTTGATGGACAAGTTGCTTCCATATCTTGGCAATTGTAAGTAATGCTTTTATGAACATTGGGCGCATATATTTTTTCAAATTAATGTTTTCGTTTTCAATATATATATATACACACACACATACACACCCAAGAGTGGAATTCCTGGATCATATGGAGTTATATTTTTAATTTTTTGAGGAACCTCCATACTGTTTTCCACAGGAGCTGCACCAGTTTACATTCCCACCAACGGTGTAAGAGGGTACTCTTTTTTTTTTCTCCACATCCTCGCCAACATTTGCTATTTGTGACTTTTTGATGATAGCCATTCTGAGAGGTGTGAGGTGATAGCTCATTTTTTGATTTGCGTTTTCCTGAGTAGTGATGTTGCACATCGTCATGTGCCTGTTGGCCATCTGTGTGTCTTCTTTGGGAGAATGTCTGTTCAGGTCTTCATCTCCTTGCTTAAATGTGTTCCTAGGTACTTTATTCTTTTTTAATGTGATTTTAAATGGGGTTTGTTTTTTTACTTTCTCTTTCTGATAGTTCATTATTAGCGTATAAAAAAGCAACAGATTTCTGTATACTATTCTTGTATCTGCAACTTTGCTGAATTCGTGTAAGGGAAGATGTACTTAGAGCCATCGATTGACTTTTGTCGTCTTGGGTCTAGGTGAAATGACGATGGATACCATCTTGGCGCGACTGAAACTCCTGAATTCAGATGACCTTAGAGAAGAAATGGTCAAAGCCGGGTTGAAATGTGGACCCATTACATCAACCACCAGGTTCATTTTGGAGAAGAAATTGGCTCGGGCTTTATCAGAGCACAGTTCACTGCCTTCACACTCTCCTGACCAGGGTGCCGCAGATGCCCCAGCTCTTGGCCACAAGACACAGAGGCCTGTGCAGTCTGCAGGAGGGAGCCCGGCTGAGCCAGTTGGCTTTTCTGAAGACAGAGATTTTGGTTATGGTGTGGGCCTGAATCCTCCAGAGGAAGATGCTGTGGCGTCTAAGACCTGCTCAGTGTCTTTTGGTGCCTCAACTGGGGCCAACAGCCACAGAGCCGCACCAAGAGCCTCCGCAGAGCCGCCTGTGTACTATGGGGTGTGTCCGGCCTACGAGGACGCCCCAGTGAGAAATGGTAAGGTGGCAGGTGGCTGGTCTCCTACATGGGCGGTGCGTGGACAGCGGGGAAAAGTGATTTTGAAAATGATAGACAGCAGAGGAGAAGAAAGAATCAAACCAGCATCATCTCCCCACTCCACAGTAACCACTGTTAGCATTTTTCTATAGAACTCACCTGAGTTTTTTGTCGAGCTATGTAGGAATTTTCAGAAATTAAGAAAATTGGATTCTAGGAGATAGACTTCTCTTACGAAGATCTATTGACCAGCTGCCATTTGTTGGTTAACCGTCTCTCTCCCTTTTTTTAATTCAACCTGACCACCTTGTATGTTAATGAATGCACGTGGTCAGTGAAGATGTAACTTTCAGCATCAAAGAATTGTCATTTTGTTTTTTTCTCCTGCCTGAAGTATAAGACTTAAGTGTTTTTTGTTTGTTTTGCTGGGAGGAGGTAATTAGGTTTATTTGTTTATTTATTTATCTTTAATGTAGGTTCTGGGGATTGAACCCAGGACCTTGTGCGTGCTAGGCACCCACTCTACTACTGAGCTGTACCCTCCCACCAGCATTGTCACTTTCAACAGGACTAAAAGAGAGAACATTGGAAAGATTTAGTGAAAGTTTGATGTTGATTAGGTTGAAGTTGCTTTTAGTAAGAAGAAAGTACATGTGTGTATTATAGACGCAACCTACAAAGTAGAAGTAAAGCTTCTTTCTCCCACCCAGCCCTTACTCTGGATTGTGTGGTGGTTCTGTTTGTAACCTTCTGAGGACCTGCCATACTCTGCACCAGTTTACCTTCCCACCAGCAGTGCATGAGGCTCCCTGTCCCCCACGTCCTCCCCAACACCTGTTCTTTGTTGTTGGTTATCGTTTTTATGTGGCTGCAGTCTGTCTGTATTTCTTTGGCGGATTGCTTGGCCATGTCTGTTGACTGTTTTTATTGGCCATTGACATCGTCTGTCTTCTGCTGTGTCGGGTTAAGAGTGTGTTCCCCAGTCTGTCATTTGTGTCGTGTGTGTTTGAGTCGCATGCAGAGCTCGACTGTGACGGCTTCCCTGCAGAGCTTTAATATTTTTATGTAATTGGAGCTTTCTTTTTCTTTATGCGGCTGGGTTTCTTGGCATGCTTAGAAAGGCATTCCCCATCCAAATTATGTTTAAAATTCTCTTACATTCTTTACTAATATAGTTTTTAGCTTGCTTTAAAATTATTTTTATTTAGATTATTAGCCCATGAATTTAACTTTTTAGTATGGAATGATACCCTTGGATATAAAAACCACATGTGTAGGTATAAAGTATGTATCATATATATCTGTGCACATACATATGATGTGTTCTTTTGGCTACCTGAAGCCTTTTTTCTTCAAGACTAAAAATATGAAATATTAATGGGAGAAAAGTCAGACAACTGGGTAACAATTGTTAGTTATCAGACCCAGGGCTTCAGGTGTGAATTCAGTAACAGTGGCTCCAGTTAGTTACCTCTGATTTCCCTTGTCACTTTTCCTGCACAGAAAGGATCCATGTTTATGAAGATAAAAAGGAAGCCTTGCAAGCTGTCAAGATGATGAAAGGGTCCCGATTCAAAGCTTTCACGAGCAGAGAAGATGCTGAGAAGTTTGCTAGAGGAGTTTGCGACTGCTCCCCTTCACCACGTAAAGCCTCTTTGCCACCTCCTCCTGTGAGGACAGTGCCACTCCTTAGCGATGGAGGCTTGAGAGGTGGGTCGCTCAGCACTTCCTGTCGTGGCGTAACTGTCAGGTTTACTCCCCCTCGCTGGCCCCCCGCCCCGTTTTCTGTGCCCTGTTTCCCGGTAACTAGTTTTCTCCACCTGCGAGGGGAGTCCACTTTGCTGGGAGTAGAGCGCGGAGCCCAGGCTGTGGAACAGCTGGAAGAGGATGGATCTGTCTGCTGGGCTGGGCAGAGGCAACAGGGCTGGGGGCCGTGTGGGTGGTGGCTCCTGCAGGCCCTGAAGCTGCTGAGGACCTGGGTCCCCTCCTCCTTCGTCCCCTCCTGCTCCGTCCGTTGGTCATGCTCGCCACCTGTTGGACTCAGGGCCTTTTCAGATGCTGAGACCTGTCTGCCCCATCCACCCCAGGGGCTACACCTCCCTCTAGGACCACGGCATCGACTTGGCCCCGGGCCATTCAGCGGTAGTCAGGCTCCCCTGCAGGCCACTCCCAGCTCAGAACCAGGGTCCTGTCAGGGGCCTTTGCTGTCAGCATCGAGCACAACCCGGCAGCCCAGCCTCAGTCTCGGCCTCTCCAGGAGCTCACAGCTGCCCTGCTTCTCAGGCCGGCCGGCGTTCCAGAGGAGGTGCCCTCCCCCTGCGGACATTTGGCCTACGGTCGAGAGGCCCGTGTCCTCTTCCACTGTTCCCTCCGATGGAAACCAGGCCTATTTCAGACATTACAGGTCTCCCTCTTCACAGTTCGTGGCACTTCCCCTCCAGACGGCTTTCGTGCACCCTTAGGTTTTGTAACTAAGCCCTGGCTCAGGGCCTTTCCGGGCGGGCTCCGTGTGCCTGGGAGATCTCTGTGGATGTTGATGGCGGCCCTCGGGTGTGTGCTGTCTTCCCTCCCAAGCCACAGCCACTGCTGGGGGCCAGGAAGCACATCCCTCTTACTTCTTGCTCCCAGTGACGTCGTCAGCTTCTGTAGGAAAGGTTTTTATCGCTCTCAGTGTAGCCTGGTTTTCTCAATGATGAGAAGAAGTCTGTGAAACTGAATGTTCTTTATTTCTGTCTCTTAACAACAGATGGGTTGTACTTGTCTGAGTCAGAAACAGCAAACAAAGAGCGAGCCAACAGCTATAAAAATCCTCGTACACAAGACCTCACCGCCAAACTTCGGAGAGCTGTGGAGAAGGGAGAGGAGGACACCTTTTCCGACCTGATCTGGAGCAATCCCCGCTATCTGATTGGCTCGGGGGACAACCCGACCATCGTGCAGGTGAGCCCGCTGCCAGCCTCATGCGAGCTAGGACGGCGGTCGTTGGGCGTGAGGCTCAGAGTCTGCGGGTCTCTTTCAGGAAGGGTGCAGGTACAATGTCATGCACGTCGCTGCCAAGGAGAACCAGGCTTCCATGTGCCAGCTGACCCTGGAGACCCTGGAGAACCCTGAGTTCATGCGGCTCATGTACCCTGACGACGAGCCGCCCATGCTGGAGGAGCGCATCCGCTACGTGGTGGACCTGTACCTGAACACGCCAGACAGAGTGGTGCGTCTGCGCCACCTGGCCAGGCCCCGCCAGGCCCTGGCTGGAGAAGGGGGCTGGGTGCCTAGCGTTCACATGCCTGTTTACCACGTCCCTGCGCTGGCTCAGCTCAGCTCACTGGGGTCAGGGAGCTTAGGAAGGTTTGGCTGGAAGACGGGACCTGCTCACACCCAAGGGGTCCCCCAGGCCTGGCAGGGTGGGTGCACCTGGGGCTCAGCTGGGGTGGAGCTGCCCCCTGGACACTTCCCCGGGGTCCCTGTTCAGATGTGCCTGAGCTGATGGGAGGGCAGGGAGATGCCCAAAAGTTAAAGAGAGAAGGGCGTATTCTACGCGTATCTTTTTTCCATGTAGCGTGACGTTAGGAATATTCCTGTGGGGTGAAAATGTTCAGTGAAGTAATTTTTAATGGCACATAAGGTTTAGATAAGGATTCTTGAAACAGAAGGGTTTTGGGAAAACCCATTGATATCTGAGAGCCAAGAATTGTCAACTCAGAGCGAAACTTGGGTATTTGAAAAGTTGTGGTTGGCGGGAGAGGGAGCAGAAGCAGCAGGCTAGAGTGGTGTCCTCATACGTGCTGAATGTGCACGGTGAGCTGCAGACTGAGAGGCGAGAGCAAATGAGAATGAACAGGAGGGAAGAGGGAATGGAGATAAACTTGGCCGAGCTAGCAGAGTGAAAAGAAGGCATGAAAGAGAAAGCGGTGGCACATGAAAGCAACAGTGACTGTAAAAGAGGACAGAAGGTGCAAAGTCGAAGAGCTCTGGACGCCTTACAAACAAGCAGTAAGTCAGGGGGTCTGATGGTGCAGTCGAGGGTGTAATCTCTCAGGTACGAACAGACCTGTGGGCCCGACAGAAAATACAGTCTCTTAACATCTTTGCAGTTTGCCTTGAGGACGTGCGTACGTGAGTTCCCCGAGAACACGTAAAGTCTGGAAAGTAGATGTCCCAGGTCACGTGCTCTGGCTGTAATGCACCAAAAGCAGGAATCCATTCAAGTGTTGGCCATAAGTTCTTGGGTGGTTTAGAAAAGCACAGGGGCTCCTCAGAGACTACGAGGTGGGTGAGAAGCGGGGCTGGGTCAGCGGGAGTGTCGGAGAGCCCAGAGCTTGCTGTCTGATAGGGATGGAAGTTTCTGGGACGAAGGAGGGGAGATTGGGGTCTCGTTGGTGGGACTTGGAGCAGGTTAGAGACGGACAGTTTGCAGCGTGAGGGTGCGGAGCAGCCAGAAGGCTGTGTGAGTGTGGGGGCCACTGTGAGGCTCTGAATGCCGGGTGGAACCAGCTGGCCCTGATGTGTAGCGGCCCTGGCTCCGCAGGCCTGGCAGGAGGCTCGGGCTCTGGCTGGAGCCTGGGCCGCAGAGCTGGAGTTGTCTCAGGTAGAAGGTGATCAGGAAGGGCCTGATTCAGGAATGGAACACAGCCATGCTCAGCCTCTCTACTGTCTGCAGCTGCAGCAGGGGGCAGAGTCATAACATTAGGGCAGAGACTGGATGGCCCACAGAGTCCCAAAGGTGTATGACGTGGCCCTTGAACTGCAAGCTTGCCGACCCTGGACAAAGGGCGGGGGGTGTGGGAGGGCAAACACCCAGGACTTTTCAGCTCAGGAAGTTGTCTTAGATGGTGCAGTGGCCCAAGGAGGCATGGACCGGTGGCGGGAGCTGACCTGAGGATGTTTGCTTGCACGAGGTCCCCGGGGTCACCAGGTGGAGAGGTCCTGGAGCTGGGAGCAACCCTGGGCAGCAAGGTCCCTTGGAGTCTTGGTACCTGGCGAGGAGCCCTAGAAACAGCAGCTGTGGCGTATGGAAGGAGGGGACAGCCGGCCAGGGATGTCAGAGCTGGTAGCCGCAGGTGGACTGCAGGGCTGCCGTGAGTGGGTTCTGTTTTGGACGTTCTGTGGCTGACTTGTGATACTATCTGCGAGAGAGTGTTTTGAGTGCAGACCAAAACATAGTCTTGGTTTGTCCTGAATGTGGCCGTCTTCTGTTCATTTTGCTTTTTGAGCACTGATTTTTAAGACAGTGTACTGGGCCCTGAATTGTTAAAGCTACTATTTGCTGAGCAGGTGTTAGACCCCAGCTCTTCTGTGAACTCCCCGCCAGCAAAGGGTACACAGTAACGACGGCCATGCCGCCCTCAAGCCTTGGCATGAAGTGGGGAGGTGCCAGCACGGCAGTGATTTTTCAGGTAGAAAAACACTGTCTTTTTATGGTCTTTATTTTCAAGGGTTTTTGTTTGACTGTTTTACTAAATACATATTCGGACCTTAAAGTGGCTTCATGAAACAAAAGAAGTGTAAATAGGAAGTAAGTGTTCTTTCTTTACATCTCTCCCAGGGCTACGACACACCGTTGCACTTTGCTTGTAAGTTTGGAAATGCAGATGTGGTCAGTGTGCTTTCTTCACACCCTCTGATTGTAAAAAACCCAAGGAATAAATACGATAAAACACCTGAAGATGTAAGTATCCATTACAGTGCTATTACCGGTCATGTTAGAAGTGAAAATACAGGGAAGTACAGCCTGCGGTCACAGCCGCTGTGAAGTCACAAGTGACTCCGACTGTGTGTGTGTGTTTGCCTCGGGCACACCTGAGGACTCTGGTTGTTGAGTAAGATGTGCTCTGTGAAGAAGCTGCGTCTGTAGAGCCGGGAGGGAGTGAACTGCCCCAATTTGCTGATCGTATTTTCCTTAAACTGGTGGTCAAATTGTGTTCAGCAGCTCACTGTCTTTGATCAGGTGCCTTCTGTGCATACTTTAGTTGACCAGGGTCAGAGAGAACACAGGAGGTGGGTGTCGTGGTGAGGATGGAGATGGTGAGGACGATGGTGCTGCAAGTGGCTGATGGGTGTTCAGCTCAGCGTGCACCAGCGGCTGTCCTGAGCCCTTCCCGTGTAGCCTCACTTTCCCCACACAAGCCGTATGAAGCAGGCCTCGTCATGATCTGTGTTGACAGTTGAGCAAAACATGCCTTCCAGAGGACAGAGGTGCCTCTGCAGTGAGGTGGAGAGGGGCGGGGACTGGAAACGAACTGGAAGATGGGTTAATTTGAACCATGCATAGGAGAGGTTAGCTGGCCTGGACCCACCAGCCCCTTGGAGATAGAATCCCAAGGGTCCCGTTTGGTAGCGAGCGCTTCCTTTGTAGTGGCTGTGATTACACACAGGTAGGGCCCACCTCTAGAAAGTCAGGAATGCACATGAAAAGGGTAAAATTTCCCAGGCCATTCTACAAGCCAGAAATTAACGTTATTTTGCATAAATCGGATTCAACTTTTCATGTGCTTTTTTTTTCTTCAATAGAAAAGGCTGTCTGGTAACTAACACTTTTAAAGCATTTGCCATCTCACAATCGGTTACAGAATTTAAAAGAAAATACTTAGTTGCGATAGTCAAAGGGTACAGCTGTACCCGTGTAGTTTGTTTCTCTGACAGGAGTTGGGAATTCCCTCCTTCTTGTAAGGAGGGAATTTCTTGGTTTTTATGCTGCTTCTAGCTAAAATGTGCACAGTTCTCGACTGGATGAGAACATCATTTCCTCTGGCTGCCAGAATAAGCACGTGTCCTAGGCTGGAGAGGAGTTCTGCTTCAACCCAGCCAGACAGCAGTGAACAGCGCCAGGCAGCGAGACGCTAGGGACTGAGGGTAGACGAGTCTGCGTGTCTCGGCTCTGACTTGGCGGTGCACTTGAAGATCTCCTTTCCTTGCAGAAGATTAGAAAATGATAAATTCGCCCTTGATCTCAGAGTTTGTTCCTCTTGTCCCAGCCCCTGGGAACTTTTGCAAAAAATTCGAGGAAGACGATTACACTGTTCAACACACTTTAAAAAATTTTTTCTGTTGAAGTAGCATTGATTTACAATATTGTGTTAGTTTCTGGTGTATCGCAGAGGGATTCAGTTGCATGTGTTCTTTTTCAGATCCTTTTCTACTATGGTTTATACAGGATATTGAGTACAGTTCCCTGTGCTGTACAGCAGGACCTTGTTGTTTATCTGTTACGTATCTAGCACTTTGTACCTGCTAATCCCAGACTCCCAGTTTATCTCTCCTCTCCCCCCCCTCCCCCCTGGTAGGCATAAGTATGTTTTCTGTGTCTGTGAGTCTGTTTCTGTTTCATAAATAAGTTCATTTGTGTCATATTTTAGATTCATATCCCATGTAAGTGATATCATATGGTGTTTGTCTTTGTCTGTCTGACTTATTTCACTTACTATGATAATTTCTAGGTCCATCCTTGTTGCTGTAATGGCATTATTTCATTATTTTTTATGGCTGAGTAGTATTCCGTTGTGTATAAATATACCACATCTTCTTTACCCAGTCATCTGTCGATGGACATTTAGGTTGTTTCTATGTCTTGGCTGTTGTAAATAGTGCTGCTGTGAACATTGGGGTGCAGGTACCTTTTCAAAGTAGAGTTTCCTCCAGATACATACCCAGGAGTGGGATTGATGGATCATACAGTAACTCTTATTTTTAGTTTTTCAAGGAACCTGTGTACTGTTTTCTATAATGGCTGCACCAAACTACCTTCCCACCAACAGTGTAGGAGGGTTCCATTTTCCCTGTACCCTCTGCGGCATTTGTGGACTTTTTAATGATGGCCGTTCTGACCACTGTGAAGTGATACCTGATTGTAGTTTTGGTTTGCACTTTTCTGATACTTAGCAGTATTGAGCATTTTTTCATGTGCCTATTGGCCATCTATTTGTCTTCTTTGGAAAAATAACTATTTAGGTCTTCTGCCCATTTTTTGATCGGGTTGGTTGTTTCTGTGGTACTGAGTTGTATGAGCTGTTTGTATATGTTGGAAGTTAGTCCCTTGTCAGTCACATCATTTGCAAATACTTTCTCCCATTCTGTAGGTTGTCTTTTCGTTTTGTTTATGGTTTCCTTTGCTGTGCAAAAGCTTACGAGTTTCATTAGATCCCATTTGTTAATTTTTGCTCTTATTTCTATTGCCTAGGTAGACTGCCCTAGGAGAACATTGCTGAGCTTTATGTCAGAGAATGTTTTGCCCGTGTTCTTTTCTAGGAGTTTTATGGTGTCTTGCCTTTATTTAAGTGTTTAAGCCATCGTGAGTTTATTTTTATGTGTGGTGTGAGGGAGTGTTCTGATTTTATTGATTTATATGCTGCTGTCCAGCTTTCCCAACACTACTTGCTGAAGGGACTGCCTTTTCTCCATGGTATATTCTTGTCTCCTTTGTTGGAGATTAACTGACCGTAGGTGTGTTTACTTCTGGGCGCTCCATTCTCAGTGCACATTTTTTGATGGTGGGCTTGTGCAGTATTCAGCATTAGGATACTATCCTTGTTTTGTTGACGTTACAGCTTGCTTTTAAAAATCATTTTAATGATAATAAAATGTGGTAAATTAGATTTAGAGTGTTCACTTACTCTCTTTTTTTTGGTGGGGGGAGAGGTAATTAGGTTTATTTATTTATATTATTATTATTGTTTATTTTTTGATGGAGGTACTGGGGATTGAACCCAGGACCTTTTGCATGCTAAGCACACGCTCTACCACTTAGCTATACCCTCCCCTCTTCTTTAAAATAGGTTATTTGTGAAAGGAGCAAAAATAAATCTGTGGAGCTGAAGGAGCAGATTAGAGACTATTTAAAGGGTAAGCCGGGGAACGGGTGGTGGGAAGTGGGCCCAGGGGGAGGTCCTGGGCAGCATCCGGGCCTGGTCTTGCATGTGAGGGTGAAGCAAGGCTGCAGGGAGGCCCTCAGAATTACCCTTTGTTCACCTGTTTTCTGGGAGACCAACTTGTCTGTCACTTGACTGTGGCTCATGGCCTCGGCCCTCAACCTCTGCAGGCCTGTCTTGCAGGTGTCTGTGGCCCCTTCTTTTCAGGTGGAGGGGGGCGGCTGCCCTGAGCCCCTCGGGCGGGAAGGGGTAGGTCGGCTGGTGGGTGGGTCCCTGCTGGCCCTGTCACCCCACAGCCGCTGCCCTAGGCCCTGCCCCTCCTCCAGCTCCTTTGCCGGCACCCCTCTTGTGGCCTCTGCGGCCCTGGGTTTTGAGACCGTGCCCCGTGCCCCTCCTGCTCAGCTCCGCAAGCTTTGCCAGTGCTTTCTCTGGTCTCGCGCCCCTGGTCCGGAGCGTGCGGGCCTTGGCATTGGCATCTCCTGGCGTGCAGGCTTCGGGGGGAAGGTGGCAGCCTGCGGGAAGGGTTTTTCCCAGCGGCGTCCTCTGAGCTGCTCCAGTGAGTTTGGGAAGCCGGCCGCGGAAGCACCTGTCCTGTGCCCTTTCGCCAGAAGCCCGGTGGTGCCGCTCGTGGGATGACACTGCAGCAGAGATCTGGCCTCCCCGTGGGCCGGACTCCGCTCCTCTGTTGGCTGGCGTCCCTGTCCGCCCACCTTGCTCCATGGGCCGCAGGGGTGGCTGAGGCCCGCCTCCCTGCTCTTCTGGGTGCGCTCACGCCACACTGTCCCACCTGGACTGGCAAAGTGTCTTGGATTCAGCAACAGACACTAAGATACACAAAAGGGAGTGGGGAGGTTCAAGTGCTCCCCGTGCTGATCATGCCCCTGGTCCCGCTCTCAGTCCGCATAAGAACCTGCTGCCACTTCCTTCCTGCTTCTCAGCGGAGGAACGCGGGCGTGTTCAGTGCGGGGCGGCGCACCCTGGCCTCTTGCCCAGGTCCTTTAGCTCCAGAGCTTCTGCGGCCTTCTTACTACTGTTACCACAGACCCCATGCGGGGCCTGTAGGGTGGCGAACGTCCACTGAGCTGGGGGCAGCCCAGGCAGGCGGTTGAGTCCTGGTGTGTTTCCTCCTGCAGGTCACTATTATGTGCCCCTCCTGAGAGCAGAGGATACATCTTCTCCAGTGATCGGGGAGCTGTGGTCTTCAGACCAGACCAACGAGGCCTCTCACGTCAGCCACAGTGGAGGCGGCCCCAGGGACCCCGTTCTGACCCTGCGAGCCTTTGTGGGGCCCCTGAGTCCGTCCAAGGTGAGCTTCTGTGGAAGCTTCTGGAAGCAGCTCCTGGCTGTCCCCAACAGAAGCATTGGGTTGTTCCAGCCTCTTGCTTTGTTCTGGTCCTTAGAGACCAGGTCTCGTGGAATCTCAGTGAGTTGTCAGAGGCTTCAGAACTTTTGCTGGAAGAACAAGTGTCTTGACCCTGTTCTTCACTGGTTAGCCAGGGCGGCTGTGTGGTGAGCCCATACTTCCAAGAGGCAAGGTGTCCCTGGCCAACCCTCCCCACGCTGTCGGCACCTGCTCCCATCCATGTTGGTGGCCCTTCTCAGCACTGTGCTGGGCTGGCTAGGCTGTCCCTTCAAGTATTCTTGGATTTGTATTGTCACTAGGAAACTTTATTTGCAGACTGAAGTTCCTTCCAGACCAAGACATTTCATACGCTGACCTGTATATAATCTTGGTAAATGAAAGTTCTAGACAATTAGTTACCTGAGACTGTAAAAATGTCAGGATTAGAGTTAGCCACATACAGCGTAAAAAGCATGAACGTTTATTTTCTTCTTGTGCAGTGGGGAAATGGCTCGAGGCCCTTGGGGTGGCAGCCCTGGTGTGACTCTGACCCTCAGTCCAGCCCAGGGCCTCCCCCTCCCCTCACGGGACCTTGTCAGAGCACCCCCCCCCACCCCGGTCATCTCTGGAATGTGCTGTCTTGGCTCTGGGACAGGTGGGCCTAGGGACCACGGGGCACAGCACAGCTCAGCACAAGTTTTTGTAGGCAGAAGACTTTCGCCGACTCTGGAAGACCCCACCCCGAGAGAAAGCGGGCTTCTTTCACAACGTCAGGAAATCTGATCCAGAAAGAGGCATCGAGAGAGTGGGAAGGTACTTAAAGGGCATGAAGGGACGAGGAGCCATGGTGCTGTTGCGTGGCCCGCCGTGTGCTTGTCTGGAGGTTGTGGGGGAAGTGCAGCTGCTTTCAGAGGTAGTTCCCAGGTGTTTCCTGGGAGGTTCTAAAGCCTCTCAGGCCGAGTTCCTTGCAGACGTGCACAGCGCGGCTTGTGCAGCACAAGTCTCTGTCAGTATGGTCCTGCGGGGGCAAGGGGGGTCCAAGGGCGCTACAGTGTGTGGTGGAAGGTGCCCCATGATGAATAGGGAAGTGAACACACGAGGTGGGTGTGGCCAGAAAGTCCTAGTCAGAGAAGCCCCTGGAAAGGATTTTGTCTACAGTCGAGAAGCTAATTTATGTGAACTTTTCTCAAAATATGTGCCCGGTTTCAGGTTTTCCGCTTGCAAGTGGAAAGGACTTTAGAATTTTTATGTCTGGCCCAAACCAGAATCATCTCCAACTTTATACAGTTGTTTTATGAAAACCAGGATGTCTTCTGTCAGTGGAGTGGTTTGGCCTTTCCTCCCTCTTGAATGTGTCGGTGTGAAGGGTGTGTTGTGGCTGGGGTCTCCTTTCTCCCCGGTGACCTTGGCTCACTCCCAACCACGACGGAGCCCGAGAGCAAGGCTGTGCTCAGCCTGACCCCGGGAGGGGCGCCCCTTCAGAAAACCGAGAGTGCGCCTTTAGCCCCAAGCAGAGGATCATGTAGAGTCTCCACCAGGATTGCAGGGGCTGTCCCGCCACTTCCAGAATCAGGCGCTGTCTCCTGCCTAGTCAGTTCTGTGGGTGTTGTTCTGGTCTCACAAGTGGTCATTGTGCTTTATTCTTACAGGGAGCTGGCCCACGAGCTGGGGTACCCCTGGGTCGAGTACTGGGACTTTCTGGGCTGTTTTGTTGATCTGTCTTCCCAGGCAGGCCTGCAAAAACTAGAAGAATATCTTACTCAGCAGGAAGTAGGCAAAAAGCCCCAATACGGCATGGGAGAAGACGGAGCCTGCTGCCAGGACAACGCTTCGGCCCCCCCGGGTGAGCTGTCTGCGGCCTCTCCTGCTGGGGGTCTCAGGCCCAGCCCCACCGCAGCCTCCTGCTCGTTTTCCTGCCTTGGGGGAGGCCACCCGGGCCCAGAGGCTGTATTTCTCTTTGTTGGGTCCCGCCTGCCACTTACAGGGAGCAGCCCAAGGGGTTTTCTGTCTTGGAATCTGAGGAGGGGACTTTGAGTGTGGGGGACTTGCTATGGAGAGGTTCGCGGCTGTGCTGATGGCAGCACAGGGTCCGTTTCTCTCGCCCCTGAGAGCCGCCCTCTGTCCCCATAGGCCGTCACCAGAGGTGCAGCAACTCCGTCTCTGTGAGGGCCTTTCTAGACGGGGACGATGGCGTGAGCGTGGAAGAGACCAAAACCCGGGAGAGCTCGGCTCCAAACGGCAGCCGGCCCCCGGGCGCTGCCCTCGGAGGCTCAGGATGTGACGACCCTTCCTGGGAACATACCAGCCCTGTGGAGGCCCCCGCCCCGACCAGCCCCCGCAGCAGCGGACACAGGCTGTGCGGCCGCCTGAGCCGTGAGAAGAGGCCCGAGGCCCTGAATGGGGAGGGGGCCCTCCTGTCACCTGTCTCCGGCCTGGCTGCTGAGTTCCATAAACTGAATTTACAGAATCTAGGAAGTGGCTTTTCTAAGACACCAGATGAAAGTGCAAAGACCCCAGCATCAAACGGGAACACAGGAGAGAATGACTGGTTAGAACCGCTTGCTGCCGACAAACTTGGAAATAACCAAATAAGGACAGAAAACGAAATGTCAGCTGGAATTGCTAAAATGTGCCTGGGCCCCAGGAGTCCTGGGCTTGAGGCCCACCATGGCTGCAGCTTCGCACCTCTGGAGCCCTCAGGGGTCCCCGCCTCGCAGGAGCCCAGACAGAGGCTCTTCCTTTTGGGGTACGAGCTGGGGTGTGCACACGGTGGTGCTGGGGGGTGTGGGGTGTGGGCACCAGGGCCGCTGTTGGGGGCCCATTGGCCGCTCCTCTGCTCACAGCCTGACTGATGGGCAGTTTCCTTCCCTCTCTCCAGTTTGTAGCTTCTTGATGCTCCTCTACCGTCTTCTAAGTCGTGGAAGATGGCATCCTCCTTTCTGGCCCATCCCCCCATCCCTATACTTCCTAGGAAGCGGTTGTCCCCAGGATGACTGAGCTGTCCTAGGAGTTTAGTTTGTTTTAGGAAGAAAGACCCCTCAGGGTCAGTCCCAGGCCCCCGGCTGATGGGCTGTCCCCAGCCCCAGGATGCTCTGTGGCCTGAAGGGGGTTTATGCAGAACAAACATGCTTTCAGAGCATGGCAGGTCCAGGGCTCCTCCCCGCATCCCCTCCGCTGCCCTGCCTGGGCTGCTCGCAGCCTGGACCACAGCCCTGACAGCTGGTGGTGACGGGCCGACTCCCACACCGCCTGGTCCTCCTCCAGTTCTCCAGGATGTGTGCTGCTAGACATCTGAGTTTGTAACCATGGCTGCTTCTGTGTTTCCTCGTACCTTCTAGAGAAGAGCCATCCAAGCTGGATCGCGACGTTCTGGCTGCTCTTGAGTGTGCGGACGTGGACCCTCGGCAGTACCCGGCTGTGCACCGGTGGAGGGGCGCCGTGCTGTGCTACCCGCCCGCAGACAGACAGAGGTACCAGGGACTCGGAGGCAATCTGCCTGTCACGTGGGGTATCGGGAGCTGGGTTCTCGGGAGGGTTCGTCTGGAACATAGAAGACCTATCGGCCACGCTGGCAGGAGGGGCAGTGCTGACAGGCAAGTTGGGGGGCACAGGGATGGGAGGGGCAGGGATTCCTGCTCAGGGTCACTCGACTCGAGGGGGAAATAGTATGAGCTTTCCGCCTTCAAGGCCCCTGGTTCTGAGGTTTGAGGCACCTCTTTTCGGAGCTGCAGGGCTCCCCAGGCTTGGGTGCAGGGGCCCAAGTTCTGTGGTGGCCTCTGCCTTCCCCATCCTGTTCAACTGTCTGTGCTGACTGACCGCTCCTGGTTCCCCAGCTGGCCGAGCCCCGCGCTGAAAGGGAAGGTGAAGTCGCAGCTGCTGGATCTTGGCTGTGCTCCCAGCGGCAGCCCCGGCAGGAGCAGCCCCGTGGCAGGCAGCCCCGGGAAGCCTGGCCCCGCTCCCCACTCCCCCGGCCCAGGCAGCCCCGGGCGCTACAGCCCCGCAAACAGGGGCCACCTCCGCAGGATGGCGCGCCTGGGCCCACTCCCCGTCTTGTAGGGCCTGAGTGCTGTGGGGCTCTTGGTTCCCCCTTCACTTTTAAAGACAGAAAGGTAATGTGCTTATTGCTAAAATTTCACACACACACACAAAAACATACATGTATTCTGATTTATCAATTCTCGTTTAGAGGGGAACAGTTTTAGAGAATGCCAACATTCTGTATAAAAATCAGCTTTGTGAGAAGTTGATGAAAGCACACACAGATCAGATTTCCTGAAACCTGTCTGCGTGGTGACGACACAGACTTCAGTTAGCCGTCCCTAGTTGCACACGAGACAGAGGAGGGCTCGGGCTGCCAGCTCGCCAGATGGCCAGTGAGCGCCCCGTTGGCGGCGGCAGCATTCCGCCAGCAGCTGCGCTCGCTGCAACTCTGTTCTTAAGAAAAAGGTGATTTCTGCACTGTCTTCCTTTTCCAGGGAGGGTCTTTGACTTTCTAGTTCCTGATAGAAAATCCTCCTTGGCTTTGCCTGTCGATCTCATTGGTCAAAGCGGTGACGTGGACGTCCGGGACCCAGTGGACCTTGAATGTCTTAGACTTGCAGCAACACTCGGAATTTTAGTCACTGTAAACCTTTAACTGGGTGACCAGAAGATAAAACTACCTTTTCACTCAGAAAAAATTGAGCCATTGGGAGTCGTGCAAACACAGAACTCATGCACCAGTGGTCACTACAAGATGTTTTTTCACCAGCACTTGACCTTTCACGGTGCACCTTGTTTAGCTGCCAATGCAGTGGTGATAAAATCAAACTGTTCCCTAGTTTTGAAACGTATCCCGTATGCTAGAATTCATTTCAGAAAAGAGTGTCACATTTTAGTACAGAAACTAAAGCTTTGCTTCAGGGGGTGTGTCTGATCTGGGTTTCGTTACCCTAGCGTGGGTTTATCTCAGCCTTCCCCGTGGCTCTGCCTCCCGCAGGGTCTGTGTGCATAGAGCCTGGGAATCCACGTAGCACCGCATGCCAAGGACGCCAAGCTGAGGTCTGGTTTCTCCCTGGTGTTACCACTGCTCACACACAAGCAGTATCCTGGGAACATCTCCAGTGTTTGATCCAAAGTGCAAACTACCAATGCTTCTGCCGACTTCAGTGCCTTTTGTAAATCACTTTCGATTCTCCTGGACTTTTTGAGAATATACAGGGATAGGAAGTAGGCATAGAAGAGCTTTTTTATTTGTAAAAATTCTGATGTGAAACTTGTTTTTTTAAAGTGTTATTTCTTCACACAATAACGAGATAATAGGTCAGGAATATTGGAACCAAGATTTAGGTTTTAAAATTCAAAAGGTTGTTACACAGGGTGGTACGACTTGGTGCAGAGACGCTCTAGCTGTAAGACAGAAAACTACGTTCTGTTCTAAAAACCAAACGGCATGTTTAAAAGGCACCTGTTCTCAGAGAAGTCACACAACACAGGAATATTCATAGGGATGATGTGTTCTCCGAAGTCCAGCTGTGCTGTCCTGTGTGTTGTAAATGTCCATGTGGAAATTAAAAGTGGTTTGCCCTAATTCTGCAGGCTGTTTTCTCAAATTGAGGCCTTTGACTATTTTTCCACGTTTACATGAGGTGGTCCTGGTTGCAGTGAATGCATCATCATGTGTCCTATGGCAGGTTTGTCTTTTTAAAACTACTTAATGAAATAAGTTATTTTTAAACCCACATGGTAATCATACGCTTTCAGAAAGACCTGTCTCACCCTTGCCTTGGCAAAATGTCCTTTTTAGCAAAATTTTAAGCAGTGTTTTGCTTAAACAGTACAGTCATCTCAGTGGTTTATTTGCGGGAGTGGTTGGAGCAACACAGGCAGGAGGAACCTGTGGCCCTTCCTCCTGGCGCCAGTTCAGGGGCCCATGTGTTGCATGCTCTCTAAAGGCTGTTTTCCTTTTAGTCAAACTTAGGGTAGCATTACTGTCATTCCCGAAGTTTCCAGTCATCTAGTCTGGCCCACCTCAGGGGACGGTTTCCAGCATGATGTCCCTGCGCCCCGTAAATGACGGGGTCCAAACACCCTCCTCCCACTGGGCTTGTTTCCTATTCCTGAGATGCTGCCCTGCTTCTCAAAGGTCAAGTGTAAAGGGTGGAAATGCCACTGGAAAGACAGGTCTGTGACTGGAGCACGAGGTGGCCGTGCAGGCCTCAGGGAACAGAGAGGCGGGACCTGTGGCGCCACGGTCTGAGGCCAGACCTGGAAGCCACCTGTGACTTTTCTGGTCTTGGAAGTCAGCACAGCCCCTGGCTAACTTGTTGGAACTATCGCTACAAAATGCTGCATGGTTGCTGCTTTCAGAAAACCTCTTACCAAGCTCACCGTCCTGGGTCAGGGCCTCTCACTGAGGCCCTGGTGGGCAGACCACCCAGCAAAACCGTCAGCCCAGGGTCCACAAAACACTGGGGAGAAGAGCCTCCTGCTAAAACTGTTTCAGCAAGTCAGGGCTGCCGTGTGTCCTGCTGCACAGGCTTCTTGTTCTCTTTAAAACACTCAGCACTTTGAAAAACCAGTATAATAAAATTTTATTTTGTAGTCATTTCCAAAGTTGACGGAGAAATGGATCAAATATCCTAATTAATTAGTTGCACTGATTGCAGAAAATGTTCACAACCACTCCACAGAAACTGTAGTTTTCCCTATATTAATGGAAATTTGGGATGGATACATCATATCTAAATATAAGCACAAAAGATGAACAACCAGAGGCAAACAAAGACTGAACTGTGAGTCAGACATTTTATAGAAACCAGACCCCCTCCTGGGCCACCGCTGCCTGGCCCCTCTCCTGCGACACCTTCAGGTGCGTCACTGCCCTCACCTGCCAGGGGCTCCCATGTCCGCAAAGGCCTAATGACACAGTTGAGCCCCAATCCAACAGCATCTGGGGAGTAACTCAAGTAGAGACTGGTTTTCAAGGCAAGAACCCAAATACAGAAAATCCTTAACTGACAAATAGTTAAGTGACCAGAGTTTTAAGAAATGGAAAGAAATGTGTGAAGCGAAATAAGTTACGAAGGAAGCACTGGCGCCCTCCTCCCCGAGTTCTGCTGACAGGCTTTGCTGACGGGGCCCTGCAGCTCCACCAGGATGGCTTCTGAGGCCTCACCCAGTCCCCAAGACCCCGCGGCTCGTCCTGCAGGACAAGAGCGAGGCAGAGACCCTGCAAGAAATCAAGCAGATCGGACCCAAATGTCTCCCTTGCCCGTCCTGGGCCGCAAGTACTGAAAAGTTCAGGACACTTCTGCTCCGCTGCCACATCCTGGAGTGACGGGACTGGCCACAGCGAAGCCCGTGGAGGGAAGATGGAGGGAGGAGCCTGTGTACTCGGTGGCACCCACGCCAGGGCCTGGCTGGGAGCCCCTCAGGAGCGCGAGATCTTGTCCGGGGGCATGAACCCTGTGTCCCCGAGGGCCCGGAGTGCCACGCGGCCATCTGGCCGGACCACCAGGTGGGTGATGCTGCCATTGTTGAGGGAGAGGCGGAGCCAGCCTTCCGGTGGGAACTGCAGGGCCCTGGACCAAGGAGAGAAGTGCTAGGAATGAGGGCTTCCTCTGGGAGGCAGGCAGGGTCTCGGTGAGGCTCAGAGCCCCAGCCCCAGGTAAGGAGGCCTCTGTAGGCTTTCTTGGCGCAGGGGCCACATCCCTGAGTACCTCCCGCTTCCCAGCAGGGGGTTTCTCGGGAAGGAGCTGCTTGGCGACACCAACCCATGGGTCGCAGCAGGGTGAGGTGACCTGTCTGGGACAGGGGATCAACTCCACTCAGGACATGCAGGCGAGTCAGAAACGCACTGGTTTCGTACCCGTGTAAGCACGAGGGGGCGGGCAGCCAAGCAGCGCAGCAGGTCCCCTACTGCCCTGGCTCCCACTGCCCAGCAGCATTCTGACACTCAGAAAAAGGCCTTTTTGTGGGGAGAGTAGAGCTAGGTCAGTGGTAGAGCACAGGCTTAGCATGCACAAGGTTCAATCCCCATTTAAAAACATCCCCATTAAAAAAAAAAAATTAAATCCCCATTGAAAATAAAAGGCCCAGTTGGTATCTGCTGAAAAGCGCAGCACAGCGAAGACGATGTGTGAGTCAGCAAACGGTGTCGGGCGGATGGGCGGCGCCCCGGGCAGGCCCCAACATTCTCCCATCAAGGGTTTTGCCGACAAAGGAGTGACTACCTCCACACTGCTTTCTAAAGTCTCAGCGTCACTGTCACCACTTTCAGGGCACCGTCCTAGTCAAAGAGCTGATGTGCCAGCTCCCAGAGCCGCGTGCGGGCCCAGGCCTGCCTGACACCCCTCTTCCTGACCCCTTCCTCCTAGCAGCACCCGGATCGGGCCTGGAGCAGGCTGGCAGGGGAGGCGGGCCCAGGGCACTAAGGGGACCCTCACCGGCACACGATGTAGCGGATGACGTTGGCGTGGCAGATGAAGATCTCGTAGCTGTCCTCCTGCTGCTTGGCGTCTGCACGGTGGATGTAGTTCCGGAAGGCGGCCTCGATTCGGGCTCCGTCTTCGTAATACTGCTGGGGGCAGAGAGAGGAACCGTAGGCATGGCGGCAGCAGGGTCAGGAGAGGAGGGCCCACAGCGGCCAGGAGCAGGGGGGGCAGTTTTTACCACAGCCTCCGGCTTCCAGTGGGACACGGGGGGGTCGGGCTCGATGGGGGCGCCTTCCCTCAGCAGGTCCGTGCTGACCCTGCAGACGCCTGCGGAAAGGCACCGTGCTCAGCGCCGGGAAAGCCGCACCCCGCCCGGCGGGGGCCCCGAGCCGCCCAGCACTCACCCGGCAGGTGTTTGCTGATGATGTCAGTGGTTTCTACTGCGCGGGTCATGGAGGAGTGGACGATTTTATTAAACTTCAACCCCAAGCTTGCAAGTCGGAGGCCAGTTAGTTCAGCCTGCTCTCGACCTGGAGGGTGAGACACACTGGAGAATGAGATGTCACCGGAGTTCCTCTTTGTTTACTGCACAAATCCTTTGGTCTTCACCAAGTACCGTGAGGGCTGGGGGACAAGACAGGCAGGGCTCTCGGGGCTCAGGCCATTACGATGAAGGGGCCAGGCATTCAACAGGTAAACTCAACGAGACAAACCAGCCACCTTCAGCCCCATCAGGAAAAAACACTGAAAACAATGACCACAGTTGAGGGTGGCTGAAGTGTGGGTGGGTCCTGCTGGATCCCTCACACCATTCCTACTCAACTTTGTCTAAAGACTGGGTCTCAGTGCGCCAGTGACCACCGGTGACTGCCAGCTGTGCAACCATCACAGATGTGGGCAGGCAAAGAGGGGACAATTCAGCCGTGCTAAGGACAGATGGACTGGGTGCAAATACAAATGCTTCTCTCAGATGTATCCTGAAGTCCAGCTGAAACGTCCTCGGGAAGTCAGTCCAGCTGGATGCCCGACACCACAGATGCAGCTTCACGTCCCATCTGTGCCCAGGGTGGTGGGCACAGCCTGCCGGGGGACAGGCCACCAGCCCCTTCACACACAAGTGGGGATGTCCCATTCAACAAAGAAATTTTTGCAAGTGTAAACTGTACCTCAGACTGCCCTGCGCCTTCTCTCCTCTCCCAGGACGTTCTCCTACGGGCACATGTGCACATGGACAGGAAGACAGAGATGGAAGGGCGGGCCCAGCAGCGCTGGACACCAGGCAGGATGCTGCCACGGGCACCACTTCTGGGCAGGGCTGCGAGGCTTGCCCTCACCCCGTCTGCCCGTCTGTTTACCAGGCAGACTTGCAGATGCAGATCTTAAGCAAGGCTCTTAAGCAAGAGAACAACTCAAGCAAGACAGGGCACCCCGAAACTGAAACTGCCCTGCAGAGCACCTCTCGCCTGCAGGAAGACGCACTGTAATATTTTTAAAGATGAACATGTTTTCAAGGCCTGTCTTGTGTCAGATGAGGCTGAGAATTAATTTATTGATAATAACAACACTCGAACCTCGGTGACACAGGTCCAAGGAGGCCCAGCGCCCAGGGGTACCTTCAAGGAGGCCGGCCTTGGGGGTCTGGCAGGCCCAGCCACGTACCCAGGGGCGTCAGTGTGCGGTCCTTCTCCAGGGAGGCGTCCACGTGATACTGGGAGTGCCTGATGAGGAAGATGTGCCTCGTGGCCTTGGCCTTGTAGTGGTCCAGCCTGGACGCCAGCTCTTCCTCTCCAGGTTCCAGGCTTCTCTTCCGCAGGTTGACCAGGGACAGTGGTTCTCGCCTAATGATGAAACACGAGACGGCGTGTCCTGTGACCCTGTTCACAAGTCACCCTTGGGTATTTCCGACAAGACAGTCTTTCCCTCTTGGGAAAGCACAGGGCAGAAGCCAGTGCCCTCAGCGCTCTGTTCTCTGTCTCTGGTCCCAGAGGCCAGCTTCTCGGAGCACCCCTCATTCCTCAGGAAGAGGCTGGAGACTTCATGGGATGAGGCTCTGGAATTTTCCAGAATGGACAGTCACCCCCCTGCCCATAAATCTAGACCCGACGAGCAAATACAGCATGTCACCCTCAACTAGTAAAGCTGGAGCCTGCACTAACTCAAGTCCTTTAACCTCAGACTGAAGCTGTTTCCTTAGAAAGCCTAAGAAACCTGCAAGATTGTACTGATGTTTGAAAGAAAGTTATGACCAGTCTTATCATGATAAAAACAGACAAATCCCAATGGAGGGACATTCTATGAAACCTCTAAGCAGCCCTGCACAAAACTGTCAAGGTCATCCAAACAAGGAAAGCCTGAGAAACTGTCAAAGCCAAGAGGAGCCAAGGGGACAGGACAACGCTCAGGTGGGATCCTCGACGACACGATGGACAGCAGCATGCAGACACAGCACGATGGACATCAGGTAATAATGACGTCTCTGTATTGCTTCACTAACTGTGACAAACACTGCACATCAGTGTATGATGTTTGTAACACAGGAAGTCAGGTGTGGAGTATCCAGAACTCTACCATCTGCAATTTTTCTGTAAATATAAAGCTATTCTAAAATAAGTTTCTGGAGTTTCCAGTCAAGATGGAGGAATGGTAGGACCACGAGCTCGCCTCTCGCAGCTACAATAAAACCACAACTGACTGCTAAATAACCATTGGGAAAAAAAGACTGGAACCTAGCAAAAAAGATTATCTTCAACTGGAAACATAAAGAGGTAACCACAGCAGGACAGTAGCGGGGGCGTGCTCGCGATATAACCGGGCCCCATATGACAAAGGAGGCAAGAATATACAATAGAGAAAAGACAGTCTCTTCAATACATGGTGCCTGGAAGACTAGACAGCTACTTGTAGAAGACTGAAATTGGAACATTCTTTAACACCATATATAAAAATGAACTCAAAATGGATCAAAGACCTAAATGTAAAACTCCTAGAGGAAAACGCAGGCAGGACACTCTGACATAAATCACAGCAGTATTTTGTTCAAACCAGCTCCTAAAGTTATGGAAACAAAAGCAAAAATAAACAAACGGGATCTAATTAAACTCCAAAGCTTTTGCATGGCTAAGGATACCAACAACAAAACAAAAAGACAGCCTACAGAGTGGGAGAAAATATTTGCAAATGATGCAACCGACAAGGGAGTAATCTCCAAAATACACTAATAGCTCATACAGCTTAATATCTAAAAAACAAACAACCCAATCAAAAAACAGGCAGAAGACCTAAATAGACATCTCTCCAAAGACATCCAGATGGCCAACAGGCACATGAAGATGCTCAACAACACTAATTGTAAGAGAAATGCAAATCAAAACTACAATGAGATATCGCCTTACACCAGTCAGAATAGCCATCATTAAAAAAAATCCACAAATGATTGGCTTTATTCCTTTGATAACTACTTAATTTTAAAAAGCTAAAGCTTTACATTCTTAGAAACAATGAACAGTACATATATGTAAATTTTTAAAATACATGTGCAGTATATTGTGTATATGTATTTATATGCAGTACATTGTATATGTGCAGTCAAATTATAAGAAGTCTACCTAATAAAACTGAAAAAAGAAAAGTAAAAAAAAAATCCACAAATTTTTTTGTGGATAAATGCTGGAGATGGTGTGGAGAAAAAGGAACCCTCCCCTACACTACTGTTGGGAATGTAAATTGGTGCAGCCACTATGGAGGACAGTGTGGAGGTTCCTCAAAAAACTAGAAATAGACCTACCATATGATCCAGCAATCCCACTCTTGGGCATTTATCCGGAGGAAAATATAATTTGAAAAGGCACATGCACCCCAATGTTCACAGCAGCACTATTTACAATAACCAAGACATGAAAACAACCCAAATGTCCATCGACAGATGACTGGGTAAAAAAGTTGTGGTGTATTTATACCATGGGACACTACTCAGCCATAAAAAGAATAAAATAATCCCATTTGCAGCAACATGGATGGACCTGGAGATCATCACTCTAAGTAAAGTCAAAAAGAGAGAAAAATATCATATATCACTTACATGTGGAATCTTAAAAAAAGGATACAAATAAACTTATCTACAAAACAGAAACAGACTCAAAGACAGAAAACAAACTTATGATAACCAGCGAGTAAAGAGGGTGGGAAGGGATGAACTGGCAATATGAAATGTGCACCTCTTGCGGAGGGATGGAAATGCTAGCTGTCTTGATTATGGTGGTGGTTTCATGGGTGTGTACACCCATCAAAATTCATCAAACTGTACATCTGAAATATATGTAGTTTACTGTATAGGAATCATACCACAATAAAAGTGTTAAAAAAAGATAAACAACAGAAATAAGCTGCTATGTAAAAAAATAGTGTTAAGTGTATCTTTTAAAAAATTAAAGGTTAAAAAAAAACACCTATAATGTTCCTAATACAACTAGGCTAACAACAAACATTAGCTCCCATTCTCAGAAGCGTCAAGCAGTAAAGAGCTGGGACTGGGTGAACCATCCCACGTGGCCACTCTCAGACTCCAGAGCAGTACTGTCCAATAGAAACAGAACACCGGCAACATATGTAATTTTAAATTTCCAAGTAGCCACATTCACAAAGTAGTAAGAAACAGGTGAAATTTCACCATCTCACTTTATTTACTCCAGTGTATCAAAAATATCATTTCAACACAACATGCACTGCTTTGGCTCTGAAATTTAATTAACATTAAGTAAGACTAATAATTGTTTCCCACGGGAGCCACAGTTCAAGCGCTAAGAACGTGACAGGTAGTGGCCAGGTGGGGACCAAGACCCCCGGAGGCTGCGGTTCCCGTTCAAGATGGCTGCTAGTCCTGTCCTTGGCCGTCTTCCCGCAGCGGCCCCTCTCAGGACCCACACCCACCCCGTTCTCAGCCGTGTCGCACATACGGAGTCAACATGCCCTAAGCCAGTCTGAGGGCTCAGCTGAGAGATGGTTAACAAGCCTGAGAGCCCACGGAGCCCAAGCCCTCCGGCTGGGGCTGAAAACGACCCTCGGGCTTCCCGGAGTGGGGCGCTGCCCCGGCATCACTGTGCTGTCCCTCACAACGACCCTCTGGGCGGACCGGGGCGGGGTTTAGCAGAGGGGTCGAGGGCCGCCCTAGCCAGCCTCGCCGCCAGAACCGAAAGAGAAACCTGCACGCCAGCCCGCCCGCCACTCTGCTGAGCCGACCACATCGACCCAGCGCAACGTCGGGTCCGGGAAGGCTCCCGCCGCCGGTCGCCGGGGACCACCGGGCTCTACCGCGCGCCCCGCACCTGTCCCAGTTGGGGTCCCAGACGCCGGGCCCGGGGCGC